TCCCACAAAGAGATTTTTTTTTTTTTTAAGTTAGTAGCTCCAATGGATAGAAGCAGAGGGCCAAATTGTGCAAGAAGTCAAATGTGACATTTTTTTTGAAAAAAAGAATGCTGTACAAATGGCTTGAGGTAGAAAGCCAAATTACACACCATGTTAAACTTGGCACTTAACTTGCAGATTTTTCAAAATGCCACTTTCATTGGGGGGAGGGGAAGGTGTCCATGAAATCTGAGATTGGAGTCCACATGAGATTTAACCCTATGCTTGGATTCACTGGCTGGTACATCAGTTATGGCCCTACCTGGATCTGGAGGACTTTGCAATGGTAACTCATCATTTTCTGACTAGACAACTGCAATTCATTGTACATGGGGTTGCCCTGAAAATCACACAGAAACTGTAGCTTGTACAAAAGGCCACGGTCTAATTGTTGGCCAATGCTAGTCACCAAAAGTATATTATCCCTCCATTGGCTGCCAATAGGTTTCCAAATGCAATTCAAGGTGCTCGTTTAACTTATGATACCCTTTATGACTTGGAGCCCATATAGCATACCTGAGTTAGCCCAGCTGGTACATTCTTCCCAGAAGAAGCTTCTGCTAATACCAGGAAGTGCTGTTTCTCACCTGTGGCTCTGGCCTTGTAGACTAACTCCCCCTTGGAACTAGGACTCATATCATCCCTCTTAATGTCCCAGAAGCTGCTTAAGATGGAACCTTTCTGTAGAGCTTTGGGTGACTAGTTAATTGTTGTTTTAATTCCAATTTAACTGTTGCCTTCTATTTTTGTCTTGTATTTTGGCTGTGTGATTTATTTAGTTGTTGTTGTTGTTGTTGTTGTTATTATTATTATTATTCTGTATTGTTTACCATTTGGATTTAAATGGTGTTTATTATGGACATTTAATTGGCTGTATGTTTCATTGAGTCTTTTTAAATTTGGCACACACAAATAGAATAAATAAAATCATAAATAAAGAAATTTATGGCTGTATGTTTCATTGAGTCTTTTTAAATTTGGCACACACAAATAGAATAAATAAAATCATAAATAAAGAAATGTATATAATTAATTTTAAATAAATAAAAAGATTTCTAGTGGAATGCCCTAATCCTGGAAGGCCCCTTAGGGATAAGTGTGGGAGCTACACAAATTATTTTTCTGGAAATTACTGCCGTTCATAGAGAGCCTAGTAGCTTCTGATGTGCAAAGGTGTCTTTGTAAGGAGGGGGGAGGCTGTGTGTTGGGGGAGTGGGGGTTGGACAACAAATACTACAAAGAGACTATAAGCCTTCAATTCTCTCTGTCAATAAAGCCAATAATGCTGCTCTCTTTAACTTCTCACAACTAGATGCAAAAATCAGGCGCATGTGCCAGTAGAAAGTTAATGGATAACATAGGACTGGCAAAACATTTTCCAGAGGCTCCAGGACTATTTTAGACACCACACCAGAAGCCAATGGTCCAAAATGTTTTTGTTCTTGGCCTGCAAGAATCGTTTCTCATTCATAGCCAATGTATATTGATATGCATGTGGGAATGCAGTAATATTAGGGCAGAGACTTTTGATCTAGTCTAGTATAATGAACTGCAATACAGTACTGTGCTCTTTCTTTCAGATCCTTCCCATGGAGATTGTATTTCCCTGCAATGTAATTGAGAATAGCCTTGGTGTGGACCAGCTTCAGCCCATCCATCTCCACCAGGGGGACTTGATCAAACAGCAGATACCCCTCTGTGGGAAAGGGGAGAAAAGAAAAGAGAGAAAAACGCAGCATCACTGAGCAGGCCTAGGATGTCATAGAGTAGCTTCAGAGAGTTAGGCAAAATGGAAAGATCCAGCTATACTTAAATACAGTTTCATGCTAGTATGTGACCTACCTTCCAGACTGAATTTAATCAACTAGCAAATATAATAGCTTTTTATGCAGAATAAAACAAATTAATTAATGGGATATATGTATATTGCACTTTCAGCCATGGAAATATTTGCTGTGCCTTAAATTTTAAACTGTACCCCAAATGTTGGTGCAGATTTAAAAACAGATTGCCAAGCTCAGAAAAAGAGAACAGTATCTTTTATTAGGAATAATTACTCTACAGCCTTTTCCACATCTTCACTTTTCCATAATATTTACAGATATATAAACAAATTTCTATTTCAATTATGAAACTGCGTAAAGTGTGAGAAATTGTTGCTGAGAAGTCAGCCATTTGCTTTACCCTTTACCACAGACATCTTGCACATGCCATCAGCTCACCTATTTCTCAAACTTCACTCATATCAAATTTCTACAGATAAAACAAGTAAATCAAATTCATGGTGTGAGAAGGAAATCAAACTCTTCCTCCATGAAAGCAGGAAGCCAAACCTTCCCGCTTGTCTCATCCTGCCATTCAATCTTTCCATAGCAAACAAGGTCAAATTTACAGTTAGAATGAGTTCCCCCAAAAGATTAAAATGTGGCAGGAAGAGTCAAGATTCCTTGAACCTAGCCAAAAAGATCCCCTAATAAAATAACAAAAGATCTGACAGGAAGAGCTAACATTCTTTGAACTTAACCAAAACCTTAATCAAATAACAAAAGATCTTTTCCCAAAGAGATCTGTATACCAGTCAGGCAGTGCTAGACAGGCAAACCCAGGATGCCTGAGTAGAGGAAACCAGCTCAAAGGGTGCCTGGCCTCAGTGGGGTGCCTGACCTCCTGGAACTCCGGCTAATTACACTTTCTAAGAATTTCTAGAGGGCGGGCTCTCTCTTGGTGCGCTTTTTCAAGAAACAAAGGCAAGTTTTCCCTATATAAAGGGCTCTTTGGGAATTCTTGCTCATGGCCACTTCTGAGATCTGATTCTGCACGCTGTGCTTTTGGAAATAAACGTTTACCTCTGTTTCAAGCAACTGTCCATGCATTTTATTCTTGGCTCGGAAATGAACTTGGTAAGATTTCCTTCTTAAAAAAGGCTTTACAAAAAAAGCTGCATGATGGGTCATCCATAAACCAGGTGTTCTTAACCCAGGGACTACCTGTAATAAGCAGCCTTCCGCAGCATGCATTCTGCTCAGTTTAGCTTTACCCACAAGCCATTATCTGATTGGACGTGATGAGACAACTTCCTTATTGGTTGTAGTGGCTGATCAGGCATTTTGTGGCTTACGCAGAACAAAGAAAGCTCTACCTGTTCCAAAGGCAGAAGTAAATTGCACCCACGGCACAGCATTCTCTGTTGCATCTCTTGGCTACAGGCTACCTTAGGAAGCCATGGCTGTTTCTGCCAGTCTTTTTGCTTCCACCTCCCAGGATCTGCTGCCTGGGATGACTCTGTCATTCTGCTTAATGGCGTGGCCTGCAAAGCTAAACTGGGCAGAATGCATGCTTCAGAAGGCTGCTTATTATGGGTAGTCCCTGGGTTAAGAACACCCAGTTTATGGACGACCCATAGTTAAGAACAGAGCCTATTGTACCTAAATTTGAATTAAGTACGCAATGATTCGAGTTAAATGCACAATGGTTCAGGTTCATTACACAATACTACTTATATAGCATTATACAATAGTACTGTTCTGGCTTTCATGTAAATTTGACTTAAGGACAGACCTTGGGAAAGGGACTTGTTCTTAAACTGGGAACTACCTGTATACAACATGAGAACCCAAATGATTTCTCTTTACATGCACATGTAGACCACGGTTGACTCACTGTCAGCCTTCCCGGGTAGACCAGATAGGAAACGTGACCAGGTGAGCTAATTCTACCTTATTGTAAGGCTACGTTAACATAATCTTGTAAGTTTGAAAACACGAATCTCCCACCGTGTCTTTCACAGCCTGATAAGTTAGGGAAGTTCCTTTCTGAGTTTCTTTCTCTGCCCATTATGCAGCTGTCGGCTATGCCCCCTCTTATCTGATCATTCCCTAGGCAGCATCCCTTCCTCCCATTTCCCAAGGTCATTCCCACATACCATTATATTCACTGAAGAAACACTACAATTTCTTGTCCCTGTTGGAGATGACTTTTCTCATGGAGAACAGAGAGGGGATAGCAACAATGATTTCCTGAAGGAATCCCTGATAATGACCGCTGCAGATCTGGGAAAGTGCCTTGCCTTCACTGGATAACATCCCTCTCTCTGCTATTCTCTAACTATACTGGTAAAGCCATATAGTCCCATACAGAAAGGAGCAATGGGGAGGGGACCAAATACAGGAGCTCCTCCAGAAAATGATGCTGAGCATATTAAATGTACTAACATACCTAGACCAATTTTAAGTATCACTAACAACTTCAGCATCTCATCAGATTTTCATATTTTTCTGGAAAAAAATTTGATCAATTTAAAATTCTTAAGTAATCAGGATCTTAAGGCTATCGTATAAATCCCCACTCCAAAATTATGAAAACTAAGTAGCCTAAAGAAAACAATTGTTCAAAAACAGGGTGATACAATTCAGTGGTGCAATCTACTTCCCAATCACTTGAACTCAGTCCCTTTCAAGGTATTTCAGAATAAAAGGTTATGACCTGGGATTATCAGGTACACAGAATTGACAGATTAGGCAGTCAAATTAGGAATTTAATTTAAAATTAAAATTTGTTTTGACTCCTTCTTCCTGAAAGAGATCTTGGAAATCATTTGTGAACTGTAAAAAGGTGCACATTTTGAGAATATGAATCATCAGTAGTAACTTTTTATTTCTTGGTAGAAGGGTTTAGTCTGCATTATCAAGTTGCTGATAAACTGTCAAACTGTAGATATATTAATCATAAACAGTGGTGTGTTTATTGAAGGAAGGAAGAACACAAACTCACATTAAATTGGGATGAATGCAATTCAAAGAAGTGCTCCCTTTGTATATTCTCCATCCTCTTCCCTCTTGGCAACTGTTTCAGTTCCCACTTACTAAGCCTCCTATTTTCCTCTGCATTTTCATCCCATTCAAAGGCATCCATGAGAGTGCACAGGGGTGGGGTGGGGAGAGCAAAATGTCCAGAAGACAGCTGTTATCTCATGATCAATGCCCCTCTGCAATGCATGTAAAAATAGGCAGGGCTTAAATTGCATAGTTTCCATCTTGAATTTTTTTGACTCCCCCTGCAGTCACCCCTGATCTCATTCAGCCATAAGTCCCCAAGTTACTTACTATCTTATCCTAGCAACTACTGTTCAGTTATCAATAGTAAAGCAAATAAACCACTTCCTTAAATAAGGAGCAAGGAAGCAACATTCAGCAACAGTTAGTAATTGTCCGCCTCTGTTTTTTCTCAAAAATGTGACAGCATAACTTAAAAAAAAACAAAATCTGAAAAGTCTGAAATGGAACAAATTAATAGAAGCTATCAGTTCCACTAATCTATTTCAAATATAGCTTTGTACATTATTAGCACATCACTAAATCGAAGGAAAGAACACCAATTATTAGTCAGTTCTGAACTGAATGTATGTCCTTTGTGGTATATGACACTTATTTTAATGATAGAGGCTTAAAGATTAGTTGCTGTATTTACCTTTGATTAATTTCAAATATTGTTCTCTTGTTTCCAAAAATATTTCTTCAAACTGGAAAAAGAAAAAAAAACATGTTTTAACTTAGTATCACAGGGATACAGAATTTTGAAAACTGGGCTTAAAAGTACCTTTTGGGTCCCATAATTCCCCAAATGGGAAAAGTTGGGCCAATGGGGGAGATTTAAACCTGCCATTTCATCTAAATCCCTCCAAATCTCCACTCCCAGACCTAAATCAGGGGAAAGATTTGGGCTCTGCCTACCCTCAGGTAGGGCTACTAGACCTTGGCTGCAAAAGTAACAATGACCACTGGATGGCAGCAAAAGGATAGAGAAAATATTTTGCTCCCACCTCATAGCCATCCAGATCTTTGCAGTCTAGATCTAGTACTCTTACCATAAGGGACAAAAAGGAAAAAGAAAAAAAGAATGGGGCAGTTGCTTGTGGGATACATGAGTCCTTTACCCATCCCCAGAATAACCCCATGTGAGTGGTGAATTGAGAAATCCTTAGCTCAAATCTCAAGGCAAAAAGAAACCCTAATTTCATTTTTCTTCTAAAATTGTAGAGGGCAGGGGGAATGGCCTTGAAGGACAGGGGAAGAGCTGCTACCAAGGCAACGGTTAGATAAGCGGGGCTTGAGCCCATTCCAGGAAACTAATTTGAGTCAATGTCTGAGGCCTTGCCCAGTTCACATGAAGATGAAGTGAGGAAGGGGGAAACACATTCAGACTTGCAAGATTTGGTTACTATAGCTATTACGATAAAAATAGTCCTGATCTATATGGCATTGGTTTTTTAGTGCGGTCTACCTTATAGGCCTGACAAAAACAGAAGAAACAAACCTCAACTCCAGCTGCTGCTAACAGCCACCGAATGGATTCCATCCGTCCTCTGCCATTGAAATAGGTCAGTTTGGGTTTCCCAGACATATTTGGCGAGTTCTGGATTTCCTGATAGATTGCAAGATAGAAAATAAATGAACTTAATATAATCTGCCAATATATTTATTTCTAATAATATATATATAATCTTGCAGGAAAAGCAAGTCATAAACCTTGTGAGAATTCAGGCTGCAGGTGTAGGTAATGTAACTGGAGAAATGTTAAAATATGGATGTGATCTGCTTATAGATTGACAATGCAACTAGTTTTGTTATAAAGAGAGAATGAATGAAGCTTGAATCACAAAATAAACAGATGAAAGAAGAATGAATGGGCAGAGGTAAAGAGGAAGACAAAGAATGTTGTGGCTGAATGGTGTAGATTAGAACCTCAAGAAAAGACAGACAAGAAGTTTAAAGTGCTAATGGCAAGTATCAAGCAGTATATGACAAGATGGAAGCAAGGATGGATTGCAATTATGTGAATGGAGTTGGTATAAACTGGTTTTAGCTATATTTCCTTTTCTTGTCTCATGCCTTTAACTTCCTTTGCTTACCATTTATTACTTCTTTTCTGTGCGTTATAATAACAAGAGGGGTGACTTTTGATGGGTCCCATTGGCCAAGGAGCTTCCTTTGGCGGACCCAGGAGGGGAGCCTTTTCTCCCATGGCACTTGCCCTCAGGAACATCATTCCCCCCAAAGTGAGTTTGGCCCCTGCCCTATTGGCCTTCCAGAAGTGTAATGGTCTGTGGGAATGGCCTTGGCAGATAGGAGGGACAGTTGCAGATGGGACAACTGGCATGTAAAAGAAATCTCAGCCCACAGAAGGAGAGAGGGTGCATGAGAAGCATTTCAGAAGAGATCCTCCCTAATTTTCCAGAGAGTAAAAGGAAAGGAGAGGAGAAATACTTTCAGCCTTGCAAGATTCTGTTAATGTAACCTTACAATAAAGAAAGTGTTAGTACTCCTGGCTGTGCTTCCTGTCTGGACTACCTCACAGGGTTAACAGGAAGGCCCTTAAAACATGGTTCCATCATGGGGCCTGGGGATCCCATGGTAGTGTTAAATGGTTGCACTGTGTGTAAGCTCAGAATGCACTCTCCCGTGTTTGTTGCTGTTGTTGTTAGAGTTTTAATTGTATTTTTAATGGTTTTCTTTTTAATTATTTTGTTTGTTTTTTATTCTTTGAATGCTGTGAGCCGCCTAGAGTCACAAGCATAAGATGGGCGGCTATATAAATCTAATAAATAAACAAACAAACATAGCCTGTCTCAAAAGGAAATAGCATGATGGATGTGGATGGATGGATGGACGTAATGCATTTTCCCGGTGAATTCTAGATGAAAGAAAACCAAGGAAGCAAACGGAAGAAAGTTTTACTCCCTCAGTTATTATTCAGAATCCACTGAGAAACTGTCATTTACAATTTTGTCCAAACTGACCTTTTCTTTAAAAATCACTTAATCTGTCTGTTATATCAGGAGCAGACAGTCATGTATTTACTAATACCTGACAGTAATCCAGATCTTGGAGAAGAAGAAGAGGGAGAGAGAAAGAGAAAAAGAGCAGCGGTTGAGGCATGCTTCTGAACTAAGCAGGTTGGCCCAAGCGGAGTCAGGGACATTAGTATTCAAAAGCTAGATTAAAATTTCTTTTAAACCCATGTCAAGATTTACACTGTTCTCAGAAATTAAGGGAGTTGTTCCTACTCTGTGTTGATTGTTACAGAAAATTCAAAGAGGCGTTGCCAGTTCTACAAGTCTGAGCAGAGCTTTTAAGCATTACAGCTGAGAAATGGAAGGCAAGAATTCCCACAACTCACAGCAAGTTAACTATATTAAGATGCATTTTCCACCTAACTGGCATAAAACGTGCGTCCCCTGTCAAACATCTTGCATAATTGTAGAAAACTGGACCAACAACCTGTTCTCTGTTTTCTTGCCTTTTTGCTTCGTTTTGCATCTTTATAGAACAACCTTATGCTGTAATTTTGCTCAGTGATACCTACTTTCACCAAATTCCTGCCTAAAGCAGCACTAGACAACTCAGTGCCAGCTTCTGGGTTGGGAAATCTAAAACAGCTAGAACCAGATGGTCTCTTCCTTTAAAAACTGCAGTTTTATAAGCTATACCACAGTCCAATATATAATGGCTGCTTCCTGAGTTCAACGGTGCTGTTTCCCAGGAAAAAGGACTAGACCAGTGTTTCTTAAAATACGGTCCTAAGTCCCCTGGGGGTCCCCCATGAGGGGATCAATATCTAAGTGGCAATGAAGCAATATCTAAATTGGCAATGTTAACTTTATAGCTTTAGAGTATGCACAGAGTTCTCTATAGCCAAGCTTCAATACTAACAGCACTTAGCGAAATTGCAAGAGGAAGCAACT